AACTGCAGTGATTTGTTATACACATTTTTTTAAGTTTTAAAGAATTATTTGTAAGAGGAAACTTGAAAACTGAAATCGGCCATAAATAAATCTAAAAGAAAAGGTTTTAAAAAGGGTGTATTTAACCTCCTTTTACATAAAGGATTTCGATTGTAACCCGATGCACAAATGCAGGTCCCAATTTCGTTTTTGATGGGGTTATCAGATCAAGAACTTTTGCCATCTATTGAACATCTATCGAAAATGTAGGTTGAAACTTGATGCCACTTGTGTTCAGATGGTGGTAGGGTACCTATAGCTTTTTCTTTTATGTCACAAGCGCTTTCACTAAAAACCTGCTAAAATTAAATTTTAACCTGTCAATTTATATCAAAAATCAATACAAATTTTATCCAATTTTATCTAATGTTAAATATATCACCAACAAAAAGTGGGCATTGCTTGAGGCCATTTTAATTCATTTTATCTTGAGGAATCAATTAAATTATATTATTATTCTGATCTGATATTATTATGCAGTTATCAAAATTGTAAAAGAGAAAATTAGTAAAACTAGGTATTATGTAAAAATTATTTATTAAAATGTAAGTTGGATGAAACTACGATATGATGAAAAAAAACGGCGTCAGCGATGGCTATGAAATGAAGATCGATGTCATTTTACATGTAAAATTATATGGGAAATGTCATCGATCATCATTTCCAAGCCATCTGGACGCTGTTTTTTTTTCGATATAATACGGTACTATACGTACCTATATAGGGTGTTAAAAATTCTCCATTGGAAAAATCGTAGTTTGACGTAATGGATAGAGAAAAATATAATGTCTTGTTTTGAATTGCCATGTATACAGCATGCACAATATAACGAATTTTAGTCTAATTACTTAAAAAAGTTCGTAATTGCACAATTCTGGAAGAACATTTTAAATGAACAGACAATTTTGTTTAAAACTGGTTATAATAATTTGTAAAACCGCTAATAGGTAATTTTGAGAAGGAAATTTTAAATTACAACTTTAAAATAAAAATATATTTGAATCATCAATCTCTATATTTTTATATTTTTGAGAATATGTTTTCAATAAAAAAACTAACGAAGCATTCTCTTTATGTTTTATTTTTAAAATCGTTTTATCAAATAAAGGAACCATTATTGGGAAAAAGATGTACAGAGTGTCTATTTTTGTGTTTTATGGTGTTTCTCGTAAAATGATGTGGTTTTCATATTATTACGCTATTTTTTTCTAAAACTAAAGGTGTCACTCACAGATTTGTCCTAAACCTCTTATTTCCTGAATTACAGGGCGAATTTGAAATTGTTGATTTTTTCAACACCTCTCGTATCTCCGTATTCTATAACTTATCGAAAATGTGAAAACTGGTTTCCGTAGAGTTTTTCACGTAGAATCCAGAATAGTGTAACTAGATTTTCGTTGCGAGCTGTCATTCTTGAGATATGGCCCAAACTTATGACTTTTTAAATGTAATGCCCTGAATATTATTTTTTGTAACTTTTATTGTCTTGTTGTGAGCTTTCTAAAAATATAATATACTCGATACTGACTTTCATAGACAAGGTAAAAAATGCATTATTTAGCTTTTTATTAAATAATTTTATTTCTTTTTCATAGGCGGCCGGTTTAAATTAGATAATCAAAACGATCAAATAATTTATTCGACATCAAATTTTGGTTTGGTTTCCACGCTAGTTTATGTGTGTAAAATTCCTGCACAAATGCATCAAAAATATCAATAACTCTGATTGACAGAGCGTATTAGCTCAAAGCTGCAAGTTCATTTTCAGTGCAGTTTATTAAGATAATACGATGGAAAGCAAAATTATCTATTATATATTATATTTATAGAAAGATCATAGCAAGCCAAATAAAATAATAAATATAATCATAATAATAGTGTCCCATTTAAAAAAAAACAACATAATTTTGAGTCATATTTGGAAAATGACAATTCGCAACAAAAAACTAGTTATGCCAGTGGACTATACGTGAAAAGCTCTATGAATCTCAGTTTTTACCTTTTTAATTAGTTATAAGATAACCGAGATACGAGAGGAATCAAAAACTGCAACAATTTCAAATTCGTCCTGTATTTAAGGAACTAAAAAGGCTAGGGCAAATATGTGGTGTGTAGCATCTTTAGCTTCATCAAAAAGTAGCATTGTTAAAATTGCATATTTGTGCCTCATAAACACCTGTACATAAAATTGTCTCTCTAATAATATCAAGCATAGTTGCTATTAGATTGAGAAGACAAGATGATCAAGATAATTAATTTGGACAAATACAAATTGATTCAAATTGTACTTTATATATATATCCTTTTCATAAACACAAAACATCGTAAAAATCGATAAAAGCGTAGCGTGCAAGACCACCTGACCATCACAATAACTGACTTTATCCGAAGAGCTCATGTAGTATAGGAATTGTAGTAAATCGAGCCCTTTATGACCTATTCACGTTTTTGCGAAGGTGGGCCCAGGACAGCTTCTCTCAATGAAACGCACTTTTAAATAGAGAGTATGGGACCTCTTTGTTAGCTACTTTTCGATGGCCGTATTTGTTCGATGTATAGACAGGAAGTGGCTTATTATTGACTAGTTTGGAATACTTCAAAGTCCTTATCGAAAAATGGGAATGCTTTGATGCCGGTCGACGTTTTTTTTCTCGAAAAGAACAGTTTCGAGTGTATTTTGAAGATGGGTTCGTTTCGTCTCGAAGGGCTCTTTAAAAAGTATTTGGCGTAATGTTGTGTTATTTATAATACGAACATGCTCTTTTTAATGGTGTATGTGTTGTAAGTGTTCCCTTAATATATCTGGCATTAATCTGTAATTTATTAATAAAAATAAACAAAAAAATATATATCATTAGGAAAAAAGGCAAAATATTCTCGTTATAGCGTAATTTCGATATTTAAATACCGTATGATCTAAAAAACAGCATCAAAGACGGCCGGGAAATGACAATCGATGATAATTTTAGCGCGGCCAATCTTTAGGCGTCGCGTCGTTTACTAAAAATTAACACAAAACTTGTCAAAATGAACACTAATTATATAGATTAAAAAAGGATGGAACTTTTCCCGACTCATAAATCTATTTCGAAAAAATTTTTTTTGGAAATAGATTTGAATGATTAAATAAAAAATTAATGTTTTCTCGAATTTTAAACTACACTATTTAAAAATCATTTTTAGTTAATATAAAAATAAATTACAACCTTCTTAAGGCCAACTGGCAGTAACGCTTGACATCGGCAAAATATGTCGGTTTTGGATATTAATTGTCATTCACGCCAGCCGTCTTTGACGCCGTTTTTTTTTATCGTATGGTAGTTTTTACTAGGTAAATTTAAGAAATAAGCGTATCTGCTTAATTCTAAGCCTGATATCATTTTAGAAAATAACTAGCTGACCCAACTAACTTCGTCGTACCACCTAAGTGAGAGTTTAATTTTGTCAATGTTGTTATAGGAATGACTAATTGACCGATTGATCTGGAATGATTGAGACCAATCGATTTAACGGTTGTTGTCATTTTTTCTCTATATTTTTTTACATTTTGATTCAGCTATTTTCTATATATATATTTCAATATCATTCTAGATTTGATTATATTATTTTTCTACTATTTTCCGTTGAATTTCTAAGTACCCAGATTTCCAGAAAATGCATTCACTACAAAAATCTAGATATATACGACCTTTCAATTATTTATCAATAAAAAAACAAAAAAATATTTTGTGAAACTATTAATGTTTGACATATAGAAGAAAATTACTAAAAAGAACTATTTAGTACAATATTAGTAGGAGAACGATTCACTGATTGAGTTCAAATAAGTATAAGATAATAAGGTAAGAAGTATAAGGTAATAGGTAATGTGTCATACAGTTCCACAATTTTTGAACTAGAGCTTCGAAACTCCAGTGGCGTGCCTCTTGTTTGGAAGAACGGAATAAAATAGTAGGTATGCCTACAAATTTTTAGTAACATATTAGCACAGATTAAAGAAAATCTGGAATATTAATCTCTATTCTAGTAATTTAAATATTAATTACAAATGTAATAATTTATTTTATTAACAAAAATAATTGAAAATTCAAATTGGACCTATTTACAATCAAATTAAAATAAATATAAAAGCTCAATATTTAAAATATTACTTAAAAATTATAATTTTATAAGATCTTATAGTTTTTAAGTTTGTTCGATAACTTCCATAACAATTTTATGATATAAAAATTCAAATATAATTTCACTTCAATTGAAAGAAAAGAAGAAAAGAATTATTTAAAATTTTTTCTATTAGTTAAAAAATTAAAAATATATTTTTTTTGTGTATTTTAGAGCAAGGAAAACCAAATACTATGTAATTCCAAGTAATTGCCACCATTGCACTGACACATGAGGTAAAATACCATAATATGATCGAAAAAAACGGCGTCCAGTTGACTTGAAAATGACGATCGATGAAATTCACCATTATAATTTTACATATAAAATGACAGCAACCTTACTCAATCATACGGTATTGTTTATATGAATATTTCTGAATAGATTTTACATACTCTGTTTATCGATAATTTAGTAATAATAATAAAAAAAACTAATTGTTGCAAAGTTTCTGGGGATCGCTACAGGTCATAGGTGTATACTTTTGACGTACTATATAACTTTATGTATACTTGATTAAACTTAACAGAAATAGTGCACACGCCACTGTTTAAAAAATAGTCTTAAAAACAGCCCCGGCCCTTTTACGTTTACGCCCGATTTGGCACCCGACAGATCCATTCACTAAAGGGCAAACCATTCAACAGGTACTGTAAGGGTGGGGACGGTCGTCGACGCACTTCTTCAAATACAGAGCCCCATCCCTTGATCTTGACATATTTTGCCGAACTCTCAAAGTAGAAAGTACCTACTAGCCTATATCAGAAAAAAAATTGTACCGTATTTCTTAATATTAAAAAATGAAGACCGAAGCACTGAAGTCCAGCAAGTTTGTGTCGGAAAGCAGAAAAATTCGTAAACCTTTGATGGAGAAAAAAAGAAGAGCGCGAATTAACGACAGTTTGGAATCTTTGAAACAGATTCTCCTAGAATCGAAAACGTCGATTAAGGAACCAAAAAATGGACAACGGACAGCTAAGTTAGAAAAAGCGGACATTTTGGAGATGACCGTCAAGTACTTGCAGAATCTCCATAACAAGCTCCGCCAATTAGAGCGGACGAAAGAAAACATTTTACCACCTCCTCAATCACGGGATCAGATCAAGATACGTCCAGCTGACAGTTCAAGTGACAGTGTTAAAGTAGGAGTAACTTTATTTCCTACAACTTTGGGTAATGGAGAGATACTTTTTGTGGTTCCATCAAATTTAACGCGAACCATTAAAAACATTAACGATAAAAACATGGAAAGTTTACCTGTGTGGAGGCCTTGGTAATTGTAGTTTATTGGTATTATTTTGTAAATATTGTTGATACATTATTGTAACAGTTGTATAAGTTAACGACTTCAAAAGTGACAAATTTATTTATGTGGAGGCCTTGGTGATAGAAACAATAAGTAGTTTTGTATTTTTAGTAATATAATAAATAGCATTTCTTCACACAAATGTGAATATATGTAAATATGTAAATAATGTCATAATAATTGTAAGACTGGCTTTAACATTTCTGTGATATTTAGGTACGTTTCTAATAAATATATTGTATTGAAAATATAAATTTGCATTTTTATTGTCTATACTGGGTGAGTCTTAAAAAAGTGCAAATATTTTAAGGGGTGGTATATTTCGACCCTAGAAACGCGATTATGAGGTTTTTTCGCGAAAAAAAAATTTGAAAATTAGGAATTTTTTGAAAAAGATTTGGAAATGTTTTTAGTTTTAATTTAAAAAAAATAATTTCTTGATAATAAGACAACATAGGTAGTAGATTAAATTTACAAAAAAGAAAACCCACAAAAGATTCTCAAAATTTAGGCAAAAAATCGTTTATTTTTGGAAATTTTCAAAGTAAAATAACTCGGTTATTTTGGACTTATTTGAAAAACAGTAAAAAGAAAATATGTTTCTTTTATCGAGATCTACCAGCCCTAAAAATATTAGGGCTGGTAGTTATAATATTTAAGACTCGCCCTGTATAACTAAAAATCATATAAAAAATGATTAATATTCGATTGGAATTTAGTTTATTTAGCACGTATAGATATGAATTTTGTTTTGAAACATTAATAGAATAAAATGTATTATATTTCATAAAACGATTAATTATATCTGAGTAATTTAGTGTCTATATAAATTAAGGCGACAATATAAATTAAAATTTACGACTTATATGTTTTTTTTAACATTTAATTATTTTCTTCATCTCATTTTTAAAAAATCAGTTAGTAATTGTTGTTGAAAAGTTGTTAAAATAATTTAAATTAGAAAATTAGTTTCACCACAAAGTTATCTAGGAAATGTCTGATTTTTTTGCCACTGAAATAATAACTAATATCAAAAAAGCACTTTGTTAAACGTCACTGCGTTAGAGTCCAAGCGAATCCAAATCTTAGTGGCTCTTTCCTGTCAACAGATTTCATCCCTAGAACCTAGGGAGAGGAGAATAACCCCCCCACCCCTGAAAACTACATATTCATATTACTTATATTTAAATATAATAATTGCTTAGAAAATAAGAATGGATTATATTTATCATCTGCTGATGTGTTTTGGTGTATTATTTATTTTTTGTTGTCACAAGTTCAAATAATGCTCTCATATTATAAATAAAATAATAATTAAAATTAAAAATTATAATATTTAATATGTTTTCTAATTTTCATATTATGTTCTTTAAAAAATAATTCAACTTTCCGTGATTTTCACCCTTGATTATGAATACCCTCAACTTTTTTTTTTAATCAACTGTAGTATCCTCTATTATTTTTTTCTTTTTTTTTCGCTTTTTTAACACTACACATCGCAAGTGAATAAACGATGTCATATATTACACAATTTCATTTCATTTCGACAAATTAACATAACACATAGGCCATAAAATTTTATTTTTATCCCCACAATATAAATAATTTAAAATATTTGCAATGCATACAAGCAAATTCATTCAATTATTACCAGGAATTTTATAACTTTCTGTTAAACTGGAAGTGATGTTCAGTTGTTTTCAATGGGGAAATTTTATAAACTACACTACTCAAAACAATAATTATCGCATAAATATTTGAATAACAGTAATTATTACATATTTCTAAATAAAGCATGCATTTTTCTGCCTTTCTCTTCTGAGTTTTTTAGGATAATTAGCGTACGCACTGACATGTAATTTTTAGTCGGCCGACTATTTAGTTGCAAAAGTGAAAACAAATCAATCAAAAGTGAAAACAAATCATTACAGCTACGCGTAGCTAGATATTCTGTGCTGTAAGTCAAGGAATTCAAAGTGTCTTGTTTTTCAAGTTATTATTTTTTCTTTAGAAAGTATGCGATAATTGTTTTGAGTAGTTTATATAGGGTGAGTCTTAAATAAGTGTAAACATTTTAGGAGTAGTATATTTCAATCCCAGAAACACGTCTATGAGTCTCATTCGCGATTCTATGCGAGAATTCATTTAAAAAATGGATTTTTTTAATTGTTAATTAATAAATCTAATATCTTGGTAATATAGCAACATAGGTAGTAGATTAAATTTACAAGAAAGAAAACCCAGAAAAGATCCAGTGGTTCTCAAAATTTACGCCAAAAATTTTTTTTTTCATTTTCAAAGTAAAATAATTAAATTAAAATCATTTTGGCTTATTTGAAAAACGTTAAATAGAAAATGTGTTTCTTTTAGGGAGATCTACCAGCCCTGAAAATATTTGCACTTATTTAAGATTCTCCCTCTGTTTTGAACCCCAAGTTTTAAATTTAATCGATAAAAATCCATGCATTAAATATATAAATAACCTGCAACAGACTGCTCAGCAGATACATTAATTAAAACATTAGTGATTGCATCCATTACCATTTAATGCATATTAAAATATCCAATTAAACATTTTTAAAGAAAAAAAGTTCTATAGAAATCCCGGATTGTTAAAATGAAATTTGATATTTCTTTTACTGACCACAGGACACTACATTCAACATACTTAATGGTCATGTACTACAATTGCAAGTTTACTGGTATTCTCATGGCTTAAAACGTCCATTTCCTGTATATCAGTACCTCCTGTGCTCGTGCTAGGTAAAATGATATACATATCCGGTTAATATATTTTTAAACAAAATACCACGAAATTTTAAGAAAAAACAAATTCCACGTAAAACTAAATTCGTATAATTCTCCAGTATGTTCCCGGATTTGTCTTTGCAAGAGGAAAAACTTATTTATTATTGACATTTTGGCAAAAATGCATTCTTCATAAAAAATTTGCTTGTTCTAAAATGGTTAATCCCGGTTATATTTTTTCAAATTTTCATACCGTTTTAGAGAAAATTAAAAAAAATATAAAAAGATGGCTGAAGTTCTAGAAGTCCAAAAATCAAAATCACCATTTCATTATTTGATAGATGGTTATAATTAATTTTGATTAACGTCATATGTTTTGTTGTTGTTAAAGTATTATATTTTCCTTTAACTATTATCACCGGTTATCACCCTTTCCATAGCATAAAATTTAAACGCCCAAATATGACCGTTTAATTTAAACATTGATTAAATAAGTCTGGACAACGTTTATGTAATAGTGCAAATAAAATATTAGAGTTAATTACTGTTTAGCCTTTAAACAGAGTTTATACAAACGGTGCAAGTGGGCATAAAACGGCAAAAATATGACGTTAATTATAATTCAGAGAGAAACTAATATAATTCTATCAATAACAATCAATCAAAGGAAATTATATTACCACAGAAACGCGTTTTGATTTTTACGCGATAATTTTCTCAAAAACGGTATGAAAATTTGAAAAAATATAAACGGGATTAACCATTTTAGAACAAGCAAAAATTTTTATGAATAATTCATTTTTCTCATAATGCCAATAATAAAAAAGTTTTTCCTCTTGTAAAGACAATCCGGGGACATACTGTATAAATGATTGAAACCATTACATGTCAAATATTATAAACCTTTACAAAAATTAAATTTTTAAAATTATTCTTGATTATACAAGCTGGTAGACTTCTGTAATTCTTCTGTTTATATTTTTAGGATTCATATGGTGCATGTATTATACAGGGTCGTCCGAACTTTATTCCGGAAACTTCGGCAGCATATTCTGCAGATAAAAATAAGTAAAAAAGTTCGTATAATTGTATGTTCTAAAATGCTTTGTTTTGGAGATACGGGGTGTAGAAGTTTCATTTTTATTTCGATTTTTTCAAAATTATTTATGAGGTAACGTCAATATTTGAATGAAAATGGTGTCTGGGAGTTTTTTGACATGAGAAATTTCATTTCAATGTTAATATGACACCTAATTGTAGAGGCCGGCATATTTTTTAACAGGTTTGAAGAGTAATAACTTTTCGTTCGTACCTGCATATCTAAAACTACTGAATGAAAAAATATTCATTTCCGATACTTTTTACGTAAAAAATGACTCTTGGTAAAAAACGCTACGAGTAATGGTTCTCGAGATATTTGGAATCGAAATTATCGATACCTGTCATCATTGACATAAATTAAACATGTTAATAATGACATTTATTGACTATTTCCATTCTAAATATCTTCAGAACGATTGCTCGTTGCGATTTTTACCAAGAGACATTTTTTACGTAAAAAATCACGGAAATGTATATTTTTTCACTCAGTGGTTTGGTTGTATAAAAAAAAAACAGTTAAAACACATCTAGGTGGTGCCCCCTATAAATAGGAGTCACAATGATATGTCAAAAAAACTCCCACACACCAATCTGCATCCAAATATTAACGGAATTATTAATTTACTTCAGAAATGATTTGCAAAAAATCGAAATAAAAATGAATTTTTAGACATATGTTTATACAAACTTTTTTAGTTAGAATATTTTTAGTTAGTTCGGACCACCCTGTATACTAAATTTCTAATACTTCCATAATACTAAATATCAAAACGATCAAAAATTAGATATTTTCTTTTACGTACATGTAACTATACCTATATCTGTCAAAAATGTGTATAGCAATATTTCTAATTAAACTGTAAGAACATTACCACAACAACCATGCCAAATTCGGAAGCCACCTTCTTGGAAAGTTTCAATGTGCTCTGTTTCCATTATGATCGACACGGTTCTCAAGCTAATCGGCGGTTACCCCTACTGGATGCTTTTTTTCCTAGTTTTTTTAGTTCTGGGAATGCGGAACCGCAATAAACTAAAAGAATAATGGTTTTTGGTTCAATATTTACTCCGTTTGGTGCCAAACTGAACGGTGCCGTTGCCAATATTTTGGTTCGAAAAACC